TCGCCGCCCTTGCGCCTTTTGTCGCCGTCGTCTTGGTACCGGCCCCTGCGAACGGGACCGGCACCGCCCCCGGCTCAGCAAAGGTAAGGACAGGTAACGCCGGGGCACCGAGGGACCACGCCGGGCTCCCGGATCGGGGGGCTCGGCCACCGCCCCGGCCTGCCCAAGGTAAGGCGACGGAGAACACGGCGGCCCCCCCAAATTGGGGGGGTCCGACACCGCCCCCGGCTCGGCAAAGGTAAGGGACAAAATAAAATTGTGATCCGGGGGGCGTGGCTGAGGCCGGGTATATAAAGCGGTGCCGGGGGCCCCCGGGCTAAGTTCGGGATCGGGAGCGGCGGAGGAGCGGCGCGGGAGGAGAGCCCGGAGCGGGCACCGGACAGCGGAGGAGCGGAGCGGCCGGAGCCCCCGGGCCTGGGCGGCGGGACAGCGGAGGATCGCGGCGATGGACACTGGAGCGGCCGGAGACCCGAGGATCGCGGCGATGGACACCGGAGGACCGGCAACGGAGGATGCGGTGCCCCCCCGGCCCGCACTCAGGTAAGCTCGAACCAAGTGCAGGAGGCGGCCGGGGATGGCCTAACCCCCCCTTGTCTCCACAGTGGGTGCAGCCGGTCCCGGTTCCGCCACCCCATAACTGCACGGGCGCGGAGACCCCACCGGTGACTCCGCTCCATGGAGACCGCCCCCCGCCCACATTACGGTAGGCACGAAGGGAGGCGATCCGGCCCCCTCCCGGTAACGGGAAGGAGGCCGGAGATGACCTGATCCCAAATCCCCGTAGTGGGCTCAGACGGTGCCGGTTCCCGGTAACCGAGGAGCAGCAAGGGTGCGGCGACCCCCACCGGACACTGCTGCACCGAGACCGCCCCCAGCCCACGTTAAGTTAACACAAACTGAGCCGACCCTGCCGCCCCCGGTAATGGGGGGCGGACGGAAATGGTCGGACCCCCCGTTCATCCCCGCACAGGACGGGGGGGAGCCGAACCGGCCCCGCCACGGGGGCGGACCGAGACCACCGGCCCCTCCTTAACGGGGGCGGACCGAGACCACCGGCCCTTCCATGACCGAGGGGGACCGAGACCACCGGCCCCTCCATAACGGGGGCGGACCGAGACCACCGGTCCTTCCATGACCGAGGGGGACCGAGGCCCACCGGTCCCCCTTTACGGAGGAGAACCAGGACCAACCGGTCCCTCCTTAACGGGGGAGGACCGAGACCACCGGCCCTTCCATGACCGAGGCGGACCGAGACCACCGGCCCCTCCTTAACGGGGGCGGACCGAGACCACCGGCCCTTCCATGACCGAGGGGGACCGAGACCACCGGCCCTTCCATGACCGAGGAGGACCGAGGCCGACCGGCTCCCCCACCACAGGGGAGAACCGACCGGCCCCTCCTTAACGGAGGAGAACCGGCACCAACCGTCCCTCCTGAACGGGGGTGGAGCCGAACCGGCCCCGCTTTAACGGGGGAGAACCGAGCCCGACCGGCCCTTCCGTGACTGAGAAGGACCGAGACCACCGGCCCCTCCTTAACGGGGGAGGACCGAGACCAGCGGCCCTTCCGTGACCGAGGAGGACCGAGGCCCACCGGTCCCCCTTTACGGAGGAGAACCAGGACCAACCGGCCCCTCCTTAACGGGGGAGGACCGAGACCAACCGTCCCTCCTGAACGGGGGTGGAGCCGAACCGGTCCCGCTTTAACGGGGGAGAACCGAGACCACCTGCCCCTCCTTGATGAGGAGAACCGGGATCAACCGGCCCCTCCATCCCGGAGGAGGACCGAGACCACCGGCCCCTCCGTGACTGAGGACCGAGACCACCGGCCCCTCCATCCCGGAGGAGAACCGAGACCACCGGCCCCTCTGTAATGGGAGGACCGAGACCACCGGGTGCCCCTAAATGGAGACCCCAAAAGAGGGGACGGACAGAGGCCCCACCCCCGAAAATAGCAGGAGGACGGAGACCCCCGGCAGCCTTCAAGGGTGAGGAGGATGGAGACCCCCGGTCGTCCTGTGGGGTGAGAGGGTCGGGGGAGCATCCCCAGAGCCCCCCCAGAGCCCCCCGGGCCCGAGACCCCGCTGAGCATCCCCCCAGCTCGGGAAATGCACAGCGGGTGTCACAAAAACCCAATTTTACAACAGATGGGGGGAAAAAAAATGATCCAATTTTACAAAAATCCAATTTTACAATGCATGGGGAAAAAAAATTCCAATTTTACAAAAAATCAAAATCACAAAGCCCCAAACCTGGCCCGGGGGGAGGGCAGGGGGGGCCCGGGGCTGTCCCCATCCTTGTCACACTGGGGGCTGCTCTCTGACTTTTGTAATTTAACTTACTGTTACATTTATAGATTATTTAGCCTTTAATTTGGCTGATAATTTGGCTGATTGGTAATTTGGCTAATAATTTGGCTGATTGATAATTTGGCTAATAATTTGGCTGATTGATAATTTGGCTAATAATTTGGCTGATGATTTGGCTGTTGATTTGGTTTATAATTTGGCTGACTGATAATTTGGCTGATTGATAATTTGGCTGATTGATAATTTGGCTACTAATTTGGCTGATGATTTGGCTATTGATTTGGTTTATAATTTGGCTGATTGACAATTTGGCTGATTGATAATTTGGCTAATTATTTAGCTGATATTTGCTCTCCCAAGTAGCTCTTGAGACAAAAATGCAAACAAATCCCAAACCCCTGGGATTGGGAGCACGGGACAGCCAGAGCTTCCATCCCTGTCACACCCGGGGCTTTCCAACTGTTCAATTAATTGTTTAATTATTAATTGTTCTGTGGTTTAGAGGCACAGGGCCACCCCCACCCCAGTCCCTCTTGGTGCCCCCAGTGCGAGACGGACGGAGAGAGCTCGAGCATCCCCCGGACTCTGAAATAAATAAAATTAAACAAGAGCTAACAGCACAAAAGAGGCTTGCACTGATTATTTATTATATAAAATTTTATTTTACTTATTTATTATATATATTTTAATATATTTTATATGTTTTATATATTCATATATTATTATTTGTACATTATCATGTATATTATTTATATATTTTATATTTTAATATAAATATATATATAAATATATATTTTGAATATATTTGAATATTTTAAATATAATTTTAAAATTTGAAAAATTAATTTAGATATTTATTTTTATTTAGCCCCACGTTTGGGGTGCCCAGCGCCATGGGGAGGGCTCTCTGGGGGTCCCAGCTCCACTTTTTGGGGTCCCAGCCGCATTTTGGGGTTCCCGCGCTCATTTCTTGCCCCGCCCCCACATGGGCGTGGCCACATCCACACCTATGGTACACCACGCCCCCTTCGCGAGATTCCCGCCCTTTTCCACAGCTCTCGCGAGAGTTGGCGGAGCGGGTTGGTCCCAGGAGCGGCGGCCGCTCCCTCAGAGCAGCGGGGCTCGGTGCGCTCCCCTCAGCCCTTCCCGCTCCCCTCAGCCCTTCCCGCTCCCTTCAGCCCTTCCCGCTCCCCTCAGCCCTTCCCGCTCCCCTCACAGCCCTCTCCGTTCCCTCAGCCCTCTCCCTCATTCCTCCCCGCTCCACTCTGCCCGGCCCCGCTCACCTCAACCCTTCCCGCTCCCTTCAGTCCGCTCCCCTCTGCCCTTCCCGCTCCCCTCAGCCCTCTCCGTTCCCTCAGCCCTCTCCCTCATTCCTCCCCGCTCCCCTCTGCCCGGCCCCGCTCCCCTCAGCCCTTCCCGCTCCCTTCAGCCCTTCCCGTTCCCCTCAGCCTTCCCGCTCTCTTCAGTCCGCTCCCGTCAGCCCTCTCCGTTCCCTCAGTCCTCTCCCTCATTCCTCCCCGCTCCCCTCAGCCCTTCCCGCTCCCCTCAGCCCTTCCCGCTGCCTCAGTCCGCTCCCTTCAGCCCTTCCCGCTCCCCTCAGCCCTTCCCGCTCCCCTCACAGCCCTCTCAGCCTTCCCGCTGCCTTCAGTCCGCTCCCTGAGCCCTTCCCGCTCCCCTCACAGCCCTCTTCGTTCCCTCAGCCCTCTCCCTCATTCCTCCCCGCTCCACTCTGCCCGGCCCCGCTCACCTCAACCCTTCCCGCTCCCTTCAGTCCGCTCCCCTCTGCCCTTCCCGCTCCCCTCAGCCCTCTCCCTCATTCCTCCCCGCTCCGCTCTGCCCGGCCCCGCTCACCTCAACCCTTCTCGCTCCCTTCAGTCCGCTCCCCTCTGCCCTTCCCGCTCCCCTCAGCCCTCTCCCTCATTCCTCCCCGCTCCGCTCTGCCCGGCCCCGCTCACCTCAACCCTTCTCCCGCTGCCTTCAGTCCGCTCCCTGAGCCCTTCCCGCTCCCCTCACAGCCCTCTTCGTTCCCTCAGTCCTCTCCCTCATTCCTCCCCGCTCCCCTCTGCCCAGCCCCGCTCCCCTCAGCCCTCTCCGTCATTCCTCCCCGCTCCCCTCATTCCTCCCCGCTCCCCTCAGTCCTTTCCCTCAGCCCTTCCCGCTGGGGAACAGACCCCCCTGCACAGACCCTTCTGTGCGGCTCCAAGGCTAATAATAACAACAGCCATCCCCCAAGGACTGAGCACACGGCACGGGGTGGGGTTCAGGCCCAGGGGGGCAGCCCTGGGCCCCTCCTGGAGCTCTTTATTGGGGCCGGGGGCAGCCTCAGCCCTTGGGGGCCGAGGTGAAGATGCGCAGGCCGTGCATGTGCTTGATCTCCTCGCTCAGCGCCTGCGGGGCACGCGCAGCTCAGGGGCGGCTCTGCCACGGCCCCACAGCCATGGCTGCAGCATGGCCCCACAGCCAGGGGTGCAGCATGGCCCCACAGCCAGGGGTGCTGCATGGCCCCACAGCCAGGGGTGCAGCATGGCCCCACAGCCAGGGGTGCTGCAGCCACAGCCCCACAGCCAGGGGTGCTGCACAGCCCCACAGCCAGGGCTGCAGCCACGGCCCCACAGCCAGGGGTGCTGCAGCCATGGCCCCACAGCCTCAGCCCCACAGCCAGGAGTGCTGCAGCCTCAGCCCCATGGGTTCCCTCTTTCCCATTCCCTTTCCCCCATTTCCTCACATCCATTCCCTCTCACCCATCCAGCTGTTCCCATTCCGTCACCCCCATTCCCTCTCCCCCTGTTCCCCCTCATTCCCTCTCCCCAAATCCCTCCCATTCCCCCTCTCTCCATCTGCTCTCCCTGTTCCCTCTCCCTCTCTCCCCTGTTCTGTTCCCTCCCCCCGTTCCCTTCCCTCTCCCCATCCCCTCTCCCCTGTTCCCTCCCCCCGTTCCCTTCCCTCTCCCCATTCCCTCTCCCCTGTTCCCTCTCCCCGTTCCCCCTCTCCCGTTCCCTCTCCCCTGCCCCAGACCTGGGTCACCATCCTGTGCTGCTGCACCGGGCGCTTCTCCCGGAACTCCTCCGACTCCACGTGGATCTCGTACATGGCGCCGCAGCCTCCTGGGAAGCCGGGCCAATTAACGCCAATTAACGTCAATTAAAATAAATTATAGTCAGTTAAAGTCAAGGCTTGAGCACCCTCACACTCCTGCCCCTTCTGGGGTCCCTGCAGCCCACGGGGGGCTGGAGACCGACTGGGTCCCCCCCGAAAACCGGGTTTGGGGCAACCAGGAGCGGGTTTAGGGCAATAATGGGGTTTAGGGTGATAAAGAGCGGGTTTAGGGCAAACAGAAGTGGATTTAGGATCACAAAGCCGGTTTAGGCCCACAGGAGTGGGTTTAGGATCACAAAGAGCGGGTTTAGGATCACAAAGAGCGGGTTTAGGATCACAAAGAGCGGGTTTAGGCCCACAGGAGTGGGTTTAGGATCACAAAGAGTGGGTTTAGGATCACAAAGAGCGGGTTTAGGCCCACAGGAGCAGGTTTAGGATCACAAAGAGCGGGTTTAGGATCACAGGAGCAGGTTTAGGATCACAAGCGGGTTTAGGATCACAAAGAGCGGGTTTAGGCCCACAGGAGCGGGTTTAGGCCCACGGGAGCGGGTTTAGGCCCACAGGAGTGGGTTTAGGATCACAAAGAGCGGGTTTAGGCCCACGGGAGCAGGTTTAGGCCCACAGGAGCGGTTTTAGGATCACAGGAGCGGGTTTAGGCCCGCAGGAGTGGGTTTAGGCCCACGGGAGCGGGTTTAGGCCCACAGGAGCGGGTTTAGGCCCACGGGAGCGGGTTTAGGCCCACGGGAGCGGGTTTAGGCCCACAGGAGCAGGTTTAGGATCACAAAGCGGGTTTCGGCCCACGGGAGCGGGTTTAGGCCCACAGGAGCAGGTTTAGGCCCACAGGAGCGGGTTTAGGCCCACAGGAGCGGGTTTAGGATCGCAAAGAGCGGGTTTAGGATCACAAAGAGTGGGTTTAGGCCCGCAGGAGCGGGTTCAGGCCCACGGGAGCGGGTTCAGGCCCACGGGAGCAGTCCCTACCTGAGATGTCCACCACCTTGATGGCCGAGGCCCGCGGGAACTTCTCCCTCAGCAGCCGCGCCAGGCGCGACTCCCCGTCCGTGCCGGAGGCAAAACCCCGCCAGGAGCGGCAGCGCAGGAACAGCTGCGGGGAGACGGCCCTGAGACCCCCGGGAACCCCAAAAACGGCCCTGAGACCCCCGGGAACCCCAAAAGCGGCCCGGGAACGGCGGGAGGGGACGGGAAGGGAGGGACGGGACCGGGAGCTGCCAAAGGGAGGATCGGGCGGTGGGGACCGGGCCTGGGGAGAGGCCGAGGGGGTTTACCCGTGCCTGAGGGATATTGAGAGGAGCGGAAGCACCGGGAGCGGTACAAGGAACGGGGGAACACCGGGAGACGGCGGGGAAGCGGGCCCGGGGACGGACACCGGGAGGGGGCGCGGGCCGCGGTTACCGGCACCGGCGGGACACAGGGAGGAGACGGGCCGGGAGGGGAGCAGGGCAGGAGGGAGGGACACGGGGACAAGGACAAAGGGACAGAGGGACACGGGGACTGACGGACACTCACCGGGCCCCGGCTCAGCCCCGCCGCCGCCATCCCGGGGGCGCGCCGGGGTCACCTCCGGCTCAGCCAATCAGAGCGCGCCGGTGACAAAAGGGGCGGGGCCAGCGCTGCGCTGCCCGAGCGCCCCCTGGTGGCTCGGAGGACCACGAAAGGCCCAACCCCCGATGCCCCCCCCAAGGGTCCCCACAAAGGGTCCCAGCCTGACCCCACAAAAAGCCCCCTCCTGACCCCATAAATGACCCCTCCAGACCCCATAAATGACTCCTCCAGACCCTACAGAGTGTCCCCTCCTGACCCCACAAGTCCCATCCTGCCCCCCCTCCATTCCCATATCCAGGGTCCCATCCCGACCCCCAAAAGGATCCCAAAAGGATCCCATCCCCTCTCTCATCCCACAGATGGACCCCCCCATCCTGATCCCCCTCCAAAGGACCCCAATTCTGCTCTGCCCCCAATTCCCATGCCCAGAACCCCATCCAGACCCCCAATCCCAAAAACCACAACCCCAAAAACCCCAATCCCAAAACCCAATCCTGCCCCCAATTCCCATACCCAGACTCCCCAATCCCAAAAACCCAAAAACCCCAAAAATCCCAATCCCAAAACCCCCAATCCCACAGGAATTGCAGCCGAGCCTGGTGTTGAGTGCAAAAAATAAATATAAAATTTATTAAAACACCCACAATATTTTAAAGGTATCGGGAATAATAACACAGCCCAACTCAGAATAAAATACAAATTAAAAATAAACAACAACAGAACAAAAAAAACCCCAAAAAAACAAAACCAAAACCGGAGGGGAGGATCCAAACTTGCGATTTTTAGGAATCCTAAAAAATAAATTTATTGAAACACTGGGGAGAAAGAAAAGGAGGGAAAAGGGGAATAAAAACAACACAGAGAGAAAGGGAAAATGATACAAAATAAAATTATCGGCATCGATTTCCTGTCCTAGGAGTATCTACAGTTTAATTACATGTTAATTAATTCATTAATTAATTAATCCTATTGCCTTGAGACGTGGGAAAAAATTCTACCGCTCCTCATCCGCCCCGAAATCTTCATTTCAAGTAACCCCAGAGCCGAGCCCAGCCAGGAATCCCAAAGGGGTCTGGGACCCCCGCGGTGCCTCCCCGCAGCTGCCGCCGCCCCCAGACCCCCAGAGAGCGCCGGGACAGCCCGAAAAACCCCAAAATGCGCCGGAATAGCCCGAAAAATCCAAAAATAAACCCCAGAGAGCGCCGGGACAGCCCGAAAAAATCCCAAAATGCGCCGGGATAGCCCGAAAAATCCAAAAATAAACCCCAGAGAACGCCGGGATAGCCCGAAAAATCCCAAAATAAACCCCAGAGAGCGCCGAGACAGCCCGAAAAATCCCAAAATAAACTCCAAAGAGCGCTGGAATACCCCAGAAATAATCCCAAAATAAACCCCAGAGAGCGCCGGGATAGCCCGAAAAGAATCCCAAAATGCGCTGGAACAGCCCGAAAAAAATCCCAAAATAAACCCCAGAGAGCGCCAGAATACCCCAGAAAAAATCCCAAAATGCGCCGGAATAGCCCGAAAAACCCCAAAATAAACCCCAGAGAGCGCCGGAACAGCCCGAAAAACCCCAAAATAAACCCCAGAGAGCGCCGGAACAGCCCGAAAAGAATCCCAAAATGCGCCAGAATAGCCTGAAAAACCCCAAAATAAACCCCAGAGATAATCCCAAAATAAACCCCAGAGAGCGCCGGGATAGCCCAGAAAAAAATCCCAAAATGCGCCGGAATAGCCCGAAAAATCCAAAAATAAACCCCAGAGAGCGCCGGGATAGCCCGAAAAATCCAAAATAAACCCCAGAGAGCGCCGGGACAGCCCGAAAAAAATCCCAAAATAAACCCCAAAAAGCGCTGGAAAACCCTAGAAAAAAATCCCAAAATAAACCCCAAAAAGCTCTGGAATACCCCAGAAAAATCCCAAAATGCGCCGGAATAGCCCTGAAAAAAATCCCAAAATAAACCCCAAAAAGTGCTGGGAAACCCCAGAAAAAATCCCAAAATAAACCCCAAAAAGCGCCGCAATACCCAAAAAAATCCCAACCACCCCAGAAAAAATCCCAAAAATACCCCCAAAAGAAATCCCAAAAATGCCGGAATACCCCAGAAAAAATTCCAGAAGGAATTCCAAAATAAATCCCTAATAATGCCGAAATACCCCCCAAAAAATCCCAAATACCCCAAAAAATCCCCAAAGAAATCCCAAAAACTGCCAGAATACCCCAGAAAAAAACCCCAAAAAAATCCCAATTAATGCTGGAATACCCCAAGAAAAGCCCCAAAATAAATCCCAAATAATGCTGGAATACCCTCAAAAAAATCCCAAAATAAATCCCAAAAAAGCATCGGAACACCCCAGAAAAAAATCCCAAAAAAATCCCAAATAATGCCAGAACACCCCAAAAAAATCCCAAAAGAAATCCCAAATAACACCAGAAGAGCCCAAAAAAAAATTCCCAAAAAATCCCTAAAGAAATCCCCCAAAAAATCTCAAACCCCATGGGAATAGCCCCCAAAAAATGCCAAAAAAATCCCAAAATAAATCCCCAAAAGTGCCGGAAGAGCCGCCCCACCTCCGGCCCAATTCCCGGATCCCACAAGGAACGCACTCAGCTTGTCATTTTGGAATTGCCATGGTGCTAAAAAATAAAATAAAATGAAATAAAATAAAATAAAATAAAATAAAATAAAATAATAAAATAAAATAATAAAATAAAATAAAATGAAATAAAATGAAATGAAATAAAATAATAAAATAAAATAATAAAATAAAATGAAATAAAATGAAAAAATAAAATAAAATAATAAAATTTAAAAAATAGAATTAAAAAAAAGGATTTACAAATAAAAGAAAATACAGTAAAATAAAAAAAAAATAGAATGAAAAAAATTCCAAAATAAAATAAAATAAAATGAAATAAAAATCCCACCAAGCCAAAATCCCTCCTCACTCCCGGAACCCAAATGAGGAAATTGCGGCGGGGTCAAAAATCCCTGAAGGAGGCGAAGGAATGGGGAAAACCCGGGTGGGAATGGGAAAAGGGAAAAGGAGGGAACAGGGAGAGGGTCCCCGAGCCCAGAAACGCAGAGAGGATCCCAAAAATGCGGGAGAGGATCCCAGAAATGTGGGAGAGGATCCCAGAAATGTGGGAGAGGATCCCAGAAATGCAGGAGAGGATCCCAGAAATGTGGGAGAGGATCCCAAAGATGTGGGAGAGGATCCCAGAAATGCAGGAGAGGAGCTCGGAAATGTGGAAGAGGATCCCTGATCCCGGACAAGCTGCACCCGGGGCTGGGGGCTGAGGTATCTGCTGGGGGGCACGGGGGGGAAGTAGCACCAAGAAACCCCAAAAAAAGGAAAATCAACCCAAAAAAAGGGAAGGGGAAAAGAAAGAGGCGGGAGGAGCGCAGGGGAGGCAGGAGGGGATGAGAGCGAGGGGCTGCGGGAGCCTGGGCAGGGCTGGACACGGTGCTGGACATGGGATGGACACGGGATGGACATGGGATGGACACGGGATGGACATGGGATGGACACGGGATGGACATGGGATGGACACGGGATGGACATGGGATGGACAAGGTGACGGACACAGTGATGGACATGGGATGGACACGGTGCTGGACATGGGATGGACACAGGATGGACACAGGATGGACAAGGTGATGGACAGGGCTGGACACGGTGCTGGACATGGTGATGGACACCGGATGGACATGGGATGGACACGGTGATGGACACGGTGATGGACACGGGATGGACACACCGATGAACATGGGATGGACACAGGATGGACACGGTGATGGACACGGGATGGACATGGTGATGGACATGGGATGGACACAGGATGGACACAGGATGGACATGGTGCTGGACATAGGCCTGGCACGCTGCTGAGCACCAGGAGCGCAGGGTTGGTTGCTCAGGGTTGGTGCTCAAGGGGAACAGCGCCAGGACCGGGCTCGGCGGGGCAGTGCCATGGGGGTGCCCGGTGCCCGAGCAGCACCGAGCTGTGCGCCGTGCAGGGTGGGCAACCACCATGTCCATGCTCTGTGCCCAACCACCGTGTCCATGCTCTGGGCAATCACCGTGTCCATGCTCCATGCCCAACCACCGTGCCCACACGCCATGTCCAAGCCCCACGGCCGAGCGCTGTGTCCACACACCCAGCTCAGCACCATGTCCACACACCGTGGCCGAGCACCGTGTCCGGGGCGTGTGGCCAAGTGCCATGTCCACACACCGTGCCTGAGCACCACCCACGGAGCACCACGCTCAAGCACCATGCCCACGACACGTGGTCAAATCACGTTGTGGCCGAGCACCATGGCCATGGGCCACGTTCACCTGTGCTCAACCATCATGTCCATGCTCTGGGCAACCACCGTATCCATGCTCTGGGCAAGCACCGTGTCCATGCTCTAGGCAATCACCGTGTCCATGCTCCATGCCCAACCACCATGTCCATGCTCTGGGCAACCACCGTATCCATGCTCTGGGCAAGCACCGTGTCCATGCTCTAGGCAATCACCGTGTCCATGCTCCATGCCCAACCACCATGCCCACACGCCGTGTCCAAGCCCTATGGCCGAGCGCTGTGTCCACACACCCAGCTCAGCACCATGTCCACACACCGTGGCCGAGCACCGTGTCCGGGGCATGTGGCCAAGTGCCATGTCCACACACCGTGCCTGAGCACCACCCACGGAGCACCACGCTCAAGCACCATGCCCACGACACGTGGTCAAATCACGTTGTGGCCGAGCACCATGGCCATGGGCCACGTTCAAGCACCACGGCAGAGCACGGGCCCAGGAGCCACGGCCAAGCACCGAGCCCAAGCACCAAGCCGAGCGCCATGTCCATGTGCCATGTCTGAGCACCGTGTCCACCCACCACGTCCGAGCACCATGTCCACAGTGCATGGCCAAGCACCAGTGTCCACTCAGCATGTCCGAGCACCAGTGTCCACTCAGCATGTCCATGCACCATGTCCGAGCACCAATGTCCAAAAACCAGTGTCCAAGCACCATGTCCACTCAGCATGTCCATGCACCATGTCCA